CTTATGTGGTGCTGAGGAATTGAAACCAGGGCCTCATGCATGCAAGGCAAGCACTCTACCACTGAGCCACCTTCCCAGCCCTTTCTTTTTCTTTTTTGTTATCATTTTTGTTCTTTTTTGGTGTTTAAGCCTGCTCTGGCTAGCTTCAACCTGAGATCCTGAGATCTCAGCCTCCTGGTAGTTAGGAATACAAGTGTGAGCAACTGGTGGCAGGCCCTGCTTTTTTGTTCTTTTTGTTGCTGTTGGTGGTAGTTGTGGGGCTTGAACTCTGGGCCTGGGCTCTGTCCCTCAGGTTTTCAGCTCAAAGCTAGTGCTTTACCACTTGAGCCACAGCACCACTTCTGGTTTTCTGGTGGTTAATTGGAGATAAGAGTCTCACGGACTTTCCTGCTGGGACTGGCTTTGAACTGTGATCCTCAGATCTCAGCCTCCTGAGTAGTTAGTGTGAGTCACTGATGCCTGGCTGCTTTTTCATTCTTATTTTCATTTCTGTCTTTCAGTAAATATCTAGGTAGATATTACCATTTCACCTTCATTTTACATATCAAAAAATTGAAATCCAAATAAGGACTTTCCCAAGGTCACTGACCTAGTAATTGCCAGAATTTAAGCATCAAGAAGACCTCAACTCCATATTAAAATTAAATCTTTATAATAGAACTAAGAATAGTAATAAGAATAGTGACAAGAAAAGAAACAAGAAGTCTTTCTGAGCCATAAGGGAGATGAAGAATCCTTCATCTTTCTGATGCTTATTATCTTCCTTCAAAGCAAATAAACACAAACACAAACATCTTGCATAGCAGAATTTGTCCTGTGGGAAGACCTGACTATTCATAAGCCACTTACATTTGTTTATATTTATATCCTAAACATGTAGTATCTGAGAGTAGGTTCTCAAGTTCTTTATCATTATCCTTTGTGTGATATTTTGATCCATATCTTTTGGGCTTTGTCCATATTTCCTAGCTCAGAATTCCTTTCCAAAGTAGGCTGTAGAAATTAGAATTTTTGGGGGCTGGGAAGATGGCTCAGTGGTAGAGCGCTTGCCTTGCATGCCTGAGGCCCTGGGTTCAATTCCTCAGCACCACATAAGCAAAAAGAAAAA